GAAAAACATGTTCCATGAGTTTAATTTGCAGCCAGACTGGTGAAAATATAGCATAACCATGATGGAAAAGAAGTTGAGTTGTATAATTGTCATAGTTTAAATTTCTGGAAAAAAGGAATGCAAATTAATTTTCTGGTCAATTATTGTTAAAACAACCCTCTCCCCTCAGTGTTGATGACTTTTTTTCCACGTGGTAATAAATTCTCATTGCCAACATCAACAAAGGGGGAATTATACTTGAACAATTGCACCCAGCCTGAGGATGATATTCAAATAACAAATTACATTGTGGTAAGCTGTCTATAGTGTGTGCTTGAGGTGTTTGACATTTGTCAATATATCAAAGAACTGCAAAATAACCAATGCTCTGATACCAGGTTGACGCCATGAGACAGAAACATCTGCCCCAACAGCCTGCAAGCGACTGTTTCCTCATGGACTGCTTAAAGATAAAAACGAGATAACCAGAAATTTTTTAAAAAAAGGAACATATCAAGTGACTTCTCTGAAACAGCTGACTGATAATTCATTACGAATAAAATAACTTAAGGTACAACGAGGCTTACTATATATATATAAAGTGCCTGCAATCTATACAACTGTCACAAAAGGCCTTTAATAATCAAGTATCAAGAGGTGTATGACTGGGTGGGGCTGGAGACTTCCCAAGAGTATTTTTCATTACATCAAGTTGGATCTGTGTTTTTTCCCTGATGCAAACCTACACAGCAACATTCTCATCCAGTCAGAAAAAATGTGCCTCATAACCGGGGTAAGTAACATGCAAAAAGGATGTCAAAAGAGCCATGCAGTAACAATTAAATTGGAACAACTGGTTCATATCTATGTTGTTTCACAGAAACAAGATGAAGAAACCGAAATGTTTGGAAAAGATAATCAGGTGAGAAAAACCACACAAGCATCTGTCGCTTCCTTATTTTTTTTCCATTTATCATATTTGTAACAGTTGTGGTTAACATTCAAAACTCTAGTTGACTGCAGAGTGTTTTTATGCCAAGGAATGTTGATCCTAAAAAATCTCTTGATGCCACCATTCCTGGAAGGTAGAAAATTACCTTTACAGAAGTTTCCATTGATACATTTCTCACACCAAAGAGGGATCCCTCAATGCCACCATTCCTGGTAAGTAAAACATTCCCTTCACAAAAAAGGGAATTGGTTCACTGACTATTCATTTTATTATAATTAATTGTTAAATTCAACGTCCACCCTGTTTATGTTTACTGTTCCATGTACGCTCTGTTGGAATCCATATATCCCAATAATTAAAACATTTCATTTAAGACGCGTAATGTAGTTGTTCAGTTCAGTTCATTTTTAACCAAGCTAACCAGTTATTGTAATATTGCTAACCCGTTATTTCTCACAGGTACAGAGGTAGTCAAGAAGTAATTTTTCAGTAGATTTCCAGGTCAGTATAGTTAATTTTCTGTTTGTTTTGAATACTTGTAAGACCAAGTGCTAAAATGGTTTATTTGTATTTTGAATCAAATTGTGTCATTTAATTAAATACTATTCTTCCTCTGTATTGGCTCTTTCGTCTTTTCTTGGATGCAACAGGAATATTCCATGCAAATAGTACAAACAGCAATGACAACGTAAAAATAGCATGTGATTAATGACCCTTGTAAGTTCTTATTCACTTTGCAACATGATGGTCAATTACACCAAGAAAAAAAATCGATGATGAAGCTGTAAACCTGAGTACTTGTTCCTGCTCTTCTAAAGATAGAAAACTTGAAACAAAATAACAAGAAATTCCCAAGAAAGTTATAATTTACTAGACTTGTATGCATAATACCAACTTGCCTGTGAATTGCAAAATTAAAGAAACACGACCTTCTTCTTTACCTTTAAAGATAATGAGGACAAGGGAGAACGCCTAGATAAGATTGAAGAGAAACGGACTTTAAATGAGGGTAAGATTTGAGAAACATACTTTATTGAGCTTCATGGCTGTAAGGATATGGATTTAATTGTTAATTCGTTTCCGATCTATGTTCCGCCACTAATGCCATGGTAACCAGGAGACCATGCTTTCCATTTTCGGGCTTTTCAACTTGTGTTTATGTGCATTGAATAAACAACACGGTTGTAAACTGTTTCTGCCTTCGTGTTCTTCATCCAAACAACTTTACATGGTGTCAGGAGTGGCAAAATCCACAACTCTACTGGTATTTCTTCCAAAAAAATCATCTTGAGTTGTCTTTCGCCGTAACCACAAACCTCGCGAAACATGCCAGACGAACCGCTAGCACCGCAACCTCAAATGGCAACCCCTCAAATAATTCATGTTGGCTTGAATTTACCACTGCCACCACCTCTACAGCTTATAGGAAACACTAGCAAGCATGGAATAACTACGAAATCACTTCACGCCTCAAGACTCAGGATGAAGAATTGCGCACGGCCACGCTTATGACTTTTATTAGGCAAGACGCTCTTGAAATATATGATGGCCTTGCATCCGACAATGATGATCAAAGGAAAGACACTGATCTCGTTCTTCAAAAACTCGGAGAGTTTTGCGTCAACACCACCAATGAAATCTAAGAACGCTATGTATTCAACAAACGAGATCAAGGGGTCAGCAAGTCCATTGATGCATACACCACTTCACTGCGTTCACTTGTAAAAACATGTAGTTATGGCACTCTTACGATAATCTGAATAGAGATCATATGGTTGTGGGTATTCTGGATAAGGGAATCCGAAAGAAGCTTCTTCAAGAAAGTAAACTAACCCTTCAAAGCTGCATTGATATTTGTCGGCCAAACAAGTGTATGAAGTGTAAGAAGAAACCAAAAGTTGATCAGAGAAACTCCAAGGGCGATCTGCCGAGTGATAAGCCGCATAAACAGATCAACTGCTAGTTTTGTGCAAGGAAACATGAAGAGAAGAAGGAAAAATGTCCAGTGTGGGGCAAAATGTGTGACAAATGTGGCGGAAAATATCACTTTGCTGTAGTTTGTAGTAAACAGCGACTGCTGCCAATCGAAAGAAAAAACCTAAAGATGAGCAAAAGAAGAAACCTAAAGATGAGCCTAAGGATCAACATCCAAAATCGAAAGTAAATATGGTTTGTCAGGATGAAGATAGTGACAGCGATTACTACTGCTTGATGGTTGAAACCATTAATTCTGTCTACCAGATAGAGTCTCCAAAGAACATTTTCGCCGCTATGGTTTTAAAGGAAACTTCAGTAAATTCCAACTTGACGAGCCAAAACCTTTGGGAACCGTGGAGCTCCAGACACGCAAACCCAAGAATGCTGAATGTTACCTAATAGAGTGCACAGTGGTATTTAAAGGATTCAAGGACTTCTGGGTGCTCAAGCTGTACAGCAGTTCTGCCTTACGTCAGTCAATATTAATATTGACAATATCATGCTTGTATCTGGTGACACTTCCGATATGTCAAATGTACTTGTAGACTACAAAGATGTCTTCAAAGGAGAGGGCAGGCTAGAAGAGATGTTGCACCTGACTTTTGATAAGACTGTTACCTGTGATTTTGCCTGTGAGGAAGGCACCTCTTGCTGTCAAGGAGCCTCTTAAGAATGAGATTGACTGCCTTGCAAGTCAAGGAATTCTCAAGCCAGTTGATACTGCGACGGACTGGGTATCATTAATGGTATTTGTAATGAGGAGTAATGGGAAAATACACCTTTGTATAAATCCCAAGCCTCTGAACAAGGCCCTCAACTCAGTGTTTTCAAAAGTAACCGGCGCCCGACGCAAGTCACCGGCTACTTCGAGCGTTAGCGCCGGGTACTTTTGGAAGTCAAAATTAAAAAAAAAAATTAAAAAAACATAAAGTTCCGATTCCTATGGGTTAAAGTTAAGGATAACATATTTTGTTCTTGCCCACTGATCGCGTTCCAGCATCAGAAATCGTAACTCTTTTATTCAACAGCATTCAACTTGGACTGGAAACCATTTGCGTTTTCCCACGAAAGACCGACATTTGATCCTGCTATTTCGTGACTAGTTTTTTCTTGCGTAAGCGAATTATGAAATCGTCTTCTTCTCCACATCGCGTGTTTGAATCTGTTTGTGAATTCGTGAGAGCTTTGTACTTGGCGCTTTCTTTAAGAAAACGGTCCCAGTCACCGGATGAAAAGGCAGAAATCACAGCCGCTTTTAACCCAGTTTGGGTTCAAACAGCAAAGAAAGGAGATTGCAGGTATGAAACACTTTTTAAAATGCAAATGTTCGCCGGGTTCCTGTTTACAATCCCCCAGTCCATCAGAAAATAAGTATTGGTGCATGTTATGAATGAAACATTGCTTGAAAAAAACAATATTGTATCGCTTTAGGTTGAATTATTTATTGTCAACAAGGCGATTTATAAGGGATGCTTTTATTTATTCAACGCTTGGTTTCGTGAGGCGCCGTTTCGAGAATGAACTGGCAGACTCTGGCGATTAAATAAATTTTATGCCGACACAAATTTGGTCACATTTAACTTTTTATATAAGCCAGGCATTTTTAAGATTTTTGTGAGACTTAAAGTTTCATTTCAAGTCTTCATAATCAGTAAAGCGGGTGAAACTGAATGTTTTACAGTTCTTTATGGAAAATTAATTTTATACGAAGCCGACACAGCCAGACTAGTCGCGACATAAGTCGCGCCACATGTTACTGCTCGCTTAACATATATGAGTTTTACTGAAATTGATTGTTTAGCAAAGCATTGTTCTTCTGATAACTAAAAAAAAACAGTTAAAACAGTTGTGCCCATGAATAAAATTGATTTATCTAATCGATTGAAATTTTGGCTAACAATGCATTATTTATGGAGCTTGTATGTCGCGCTAAAAAATAAAATTTAATCTCCGCCTTTAACTCAAATTTTGCATACGTGAGGTCATATACGTGAGCGCGAAATAACTATGCTTGGTTTATTTAACGCGTTGGTCATGGGGATAAATGGTACACATTGTCAACATCGATACATATTCTCACTGCTTTTCGTTAGATGCACCAGACACGGAAGGGTCTTCTGCAACGCCTAGTACGTCCTTAAACTTCGAAGATGCCGAAAGTTTGCCCGTCAATGTGTTACGCGACTGCCAAGAAATCTCTGTGACCGCAGCCCCTACCAACCACGCTGAAGGTAAACGAACTTTTTATTACAATTCGTGATATTTCTTTTTTTGAGAGTAGCCTTCTCTAGTTGGTGGTTTGCATCACACACTGAAGAAAAAAGGTAAAGAATCTTACATGTATTTTCCTCCCACAGATACTGTGTGTATACAGTCAGAGAGTGATATCACGAACAGTTTCACTGAAGAACAGCAGACGAAGAAAATTCATCACTACATTCTCTGCAAAAGCGTGACTGCTTGCGTGTGTGTCTCAAGAAGAAAGAGCACGCATCAAAACAACCAAAAAGAAGCAGATGTTTAATCACAGCCTTATCTTTAATAAGGATTTGGCCTATAGCCCTAAAGTACAGATGTGGTGGCTCGTTTACATCGAAGGAGAAGGTCAATACTGTCTGATCTGCAAGAAGTTTGATTCCAAGAATCCCCAAAACAAAAAGGAATTTTTTTTCTGCAGAACCAAGCACAAGGTTAAAGAAAGATTGCCTCGAGGAGCACATTGCAACAAAGAGACACAAAGATGCAATCACTGCTATTCTTATGAACAGGTTCTCAGTTTTCCAGAAAGAGCTCGATCATAATGCTGAAGTTCAGGTTGATGTGTATGAAAGAGTTTTCTATTGCCTTTACTGGTTGGCAAAAGGAGGATATAGCAAATGTCAAGGTTAAGAGTCTGTTAAAGTTGGTTATGAAGCTGGGGGGTGTGATATGAGTGGCTTTAATCACACATCAGTAGGTTCCTTTCGCAACATGTTGCTTCTTCTTGGTGAAATGATTCAAAATGAAGTCATTTCTGCTGTAACTGGGCCATTTGGGGTGATGGTTGATGACATGACTGACATTGCAAATTTGGAGCAAATGATTGGTTTCATCCAGTATTATAACAGGGTAGCGAAAAGGTTGAGGTGAAATTTTGTGTTTGGAAAATGTTCTCGCCAGCTCTGACGCAGCAGATTCTTTAACCATCACAAGCATCCTTCTGAAGTCATTGAGAAACACAGTCTCAATTTTGACTGGTTTAAAAGCTTTGTGTCAGATGGAGCAAGTGTCATGGTGGGAGAAAGGTCAGGTGTAGCTACCAGGCTGAAAGCAGATGAAAGAATCCAGTCGTTAATATCTGTCCACTGTGTTTGTCACAAACTAGCGCTGGCGTGTACCGACACTTTAAACGATCTTGCCACAATAAAGAAGATGCAGAACACACTAAACACCCTTTGGCAACTCCTTGACAACTCGAACAAGAAGACAGCCATTTTCCTGAAAGTTCAACTTGAGGTGAGTGAAATAACTCTCTCAAACAAGAATTCGCAGAAGAAGATAGCTAAGAAGCTGAAGAAGGCCTGTCAGACACGATGGCTGTCATTTAACGCTGCCGTTCAATCCGCTTGGGAGAGCTTCTCTGCCATCATCCAGTTCCTTATCAGGATGAAAGATGAGGACCCCACATGCCAGGGCCTGTTAGTTCAAATGAACAACGTCCGCTTCCTGGCTTGCTTGTATGTTTTAAAGCATGTGCTTCCTGTTCTTGACAACCTGTCAAAATCGTTTCAGCATTCTACTGTCAATTTCAGTCACCTTAAACCAGAAATTGTTCGTGCTAAGGCAGCGCTGGATGAAGTGGCAACCAAAGAAGTCCCCATCAAGCAATTTTGCCAAGATATCAAGGAAGGAAAGATGGTGCTGCTGCAGTTTTCCCCTTCTGAGCATCAGCTTGCATCCATGCGAAATTTGTTGCTCAAGTATGTCTCTGCTTTGAAGGAAAACATCGACCTGAGGTTTCAGAACACCCTCCCTCTTCTGGGAGCGCTCTCCATCTTTGATCCAACTCTTATTCCTGCAAGCTCTTCAGAACTTCCCTCTTACGGAGTAGATTCTATCCAAGTTCTTGCCAAGCACTACTTCCCGACCAACAAGACCGACTTTTGGCAGAGTGGAATATATTAAAGTACCACATGAAGGAGATGGCCATTCCAGCTGATGTAAAAGAAGGCAAGACTACCATGCCAGCAGAGTGGTGCATGTCCCAGCTAATGAAACAAAGATCTTCTTTCCTTTCTCTTCCCTCTCCTCATGCACATTGTAGAAATAGCTCTCACGATGCCCATAAGCAACGCATGGCCTGAAAGGGGAGTCAGTCGAGTTAAGCTTATAAAGTCAAGGCTCAGGAGCAGGCTGACCAATGAGATGCTGGAGGCCCTTGTTAATATCTCTATGAATGGTCCAGAGGCAAATTCTTCAGAATGTGACACCCTGGTGAAGAAGACCACTGAGAAATGGCTCCCTGGAAAACGCTACAATTTGGCCAAAGGGAAGTCAGCCTCAAGAGAAAGCAAGGGCAAAGAACCTGCACCACCAGAATTAACAAGTGTATC